GACAACATTGTGTTTGCGATCGCGACCGGAAAACACACTCGCACACTTAGCGACACGACGATTAAAACGAGCGCGCACGTATAATCCTCATATCTTTATTCCAACTACGAATTATGTCTTTTCATTCGAGTTAGATAGTGCGCGATCGATGCAGCTTACGTTGTATTTTAATTCGATTAAATTATCCTTCGTTTCGCATTTTTTTACATTCTCGCGATCATCGTGATGGTCGTAATTAATGTTAAATTCACGCGTAGATAAATGAGGACGCATATTATTATCTACAAAACCTGAATAATTACATGCGTTATACGATAACGTCTAGGCTCAATGATCAGTTTGTTCAATATCTGCGCATGATTTTACGATAATAATATATAATTCTTAGTCGCGCATATTATGTTATCACGTTACAAGTTTCTCTTTTTGCTCGCGTGCGCAAGAATTTTCTTTTATTAAAAGATGAGATGCATAATAATTATTCCGATTCGAAATAACGAAAATCGCGTAACATGCTGTCTGAAATTAATTACAGTATCGTTCGTGCTTAGTGAAGTCATCCCAGTTCGTCCGACAGCATCTCGTACCGGCTGTTACAAACACCATCCTGTTTATCAATAATTTGAATTTGAAAGACGTACCGAGAAACGGCATCCCCGAGTTTGCAAGCCGCAACAAATTACGTCTATCGGGCATCATTAATCACCCGGCATCTCCGACATCTACGCGAACACGAATCTCCGTCCGTCGCCTTCTATTTATTGAAGAAAGACGGTATTTCTGCTCGCAAATGGAAAATAACAATTACGTCACGACATCGCTCAACAACCTTGAAACACTACTCGTTTATTCCGCAATGTGTTAAAAAAAAAAAGAGCAATTCTGCTTTATAATTTAATTTTGGTTTGCTTTGTTTATAAGCTCTTTTTTGCAGAAACGTTGATATAACTTTTAGAGTGTTACATTTATTTCAAGAATGATTATTGGATCTTGCGAATTGATGCGCGTTAACGTTCGTATAATAAGTAATATCCTTGCATCTTTACAAAAAAATGGGTTATAAATTCTGTCATTTTAAGCGAGTAGGTTTACCGCCGACATTATTACCGTAAATCGCGTAAACATCCGATTCGCCCCGTGGCCCGTAATAAGGGTAATTTTAATTAAGATAAGTGAGTTCGAGGTGTTGACGGCAAGGATTATTTGAAAATAATTTCGATGAACATATATAATGACACGCCCGGTTTATCCGGAGTGCTGATCTACGGATTACTTTTGGCCGAAGAGAGAGAATACCCATCCCGAATAAATTACACGCCGGTAACGTCGGTGGGTGGTGATGGCGGTGGTACGGGCGACGTAAGATTAGGCGGAGCTCGAGAAGGGGAGACGGTGAAAGAGAGAAAGATAGAGCAACACGTGAAACAACGAGCGAAAGAGATGTCGAGGGCGGCTGGAAGAAGCGTGAGAGAGAAAGAGAGAGAGAGAGAGAGAGAGAGAGAGAAACATGGACGAGCTAGAAGGAGAGCAGGTGCAAACTTGGCCTGTCAGGAAGTCGCTTACAGCTCGAGGACAAAAGCTTCCCCAGGGACTCGTGCGCGCTTGGAAGCGGCACTAGGGACACACAGGGTCGGTCTGGATGGTAGAAGACGGTTGGAGGAAGATGGTTGAGGGAGTTAGAGGGGTATGAGAGGGACGAGCCTAACTGTGAAATAACAGGGTGGCCTCCTCAACCCTCGCCTTGAGGATGCGAGCCTCATACGTCACTTCCTTACGGCGAAAGAGGGCGGTATCTAAGGGTGGAAGCGAGTTATATTGATTTATTTATACCGAGGAAGCATCTCCGACGTGATGGGGTTATTGGGTACGCATCTATATCCTATAACATCCGCTACGTTTTCTCCACGAGCGGCAGAGTCGGATACTGACGTCGTGGATCTTCTCCGAATCTCTTTATTTCGATCTGGAAGACTCTCGGATCGATGACGGCGCGAAATCATCTCGTAGTATATATACTAAAGTCTTTATAATTATCAACGTTTCTACAGAAAATTTTTCAAATAGCTTTTAAATTTAACTCTTCCAGGAATATTTGCATAGTGTATTACATAATGCATAAACATTTTTACATAATTATATGCAGAACCGCGACAACTTGCAACGATTGCCGAAAAAAAAAAAATAATAATAATAATATGCGTGGCTCTGTTGAATTTTCCGTTGTCGAAACAAATTAGTCATGGAAAAATCTCCGGCGACACAGGAAGGGGCGAACGACGTCCGTCGCGTGCCCGACGCGTTACATTCCAATTTATAACCGTCAGCTGTTATTGGGCGCAAAAATAAAGCCCATAGCGGGAATTCGCGTCGCGCATCGTGGCTATACAAATTCAGTTCCCGGCGAAGATGACGTACTCGTATCACGGTCCATTCACCTCCCACCGATCGTACCCCTCCAGGGCTTTGCCCGATACATGACTCGGCCCTGTGGCATGACTGTCGCGAACACACGAACCCGTTAGACCAAGGTTAACTCGCAATTTAGCTACGGTAATCATTCAAAGAAGACGTCTCACTTGATACCATTTAACGAATCTTTTTTTCTTTCGAGAAAACGTTTTGCACTCGCTATCAGATGCCATGATTATTTTGCAAATGCGTGAATAAAAAATTTTTTTTTTTTTTTTTATTCATTTTTACCATTATCAAAATTTTGGAAACAATATTTTAATCCATGTTATGTTTCGAGCCCATCACTCTACTCTGTTGCGAAAGATTTTTATAAAGTTTGTTTTATACATTCGTTCGAATAAAACGTTCTTAGCATTTTGTGACATATACGTTCACGAATGTCACGTAGATTTGACATATGACAGTCGTCATAGCCGTGTACCGAAATTCGGAGAGTTCGGGCGAAAATGCGGTAGAAACTCCAGAACTTTTTAGAATTCCCACGGTAAATCACAGTTACAGAGTTGATGGGGCGATGTGTATGATTACACCCTGTCTCCTAGCGGCTATAAATCTCTATCCATTCGCCCCACCCCACGTCCTAGGATTCTACAGGTATCCAAAGGACCTGTGCCTCCGAGGACTTCGGAACGGTCGTGACGTATGGTCTGCCGGTGCGTAATGGGTCGGCAACGTGAGCAAATGACTTTGAATAATCCTGATATATTGTTTATTCACTTATCCGCGCCGCGGAAAGATGAAATCTCCTTCAACGAGATATTCCATGTCGAAGCAAGAATGCTTTGGATATTTACATGCGAACGTTCAGCATTCAATATTTTATTACTGTATCTTTCAAAGTTTATTTCGATAGATTTGCCCACGGATCAGGTGCCAGGACACTAATCTCTTGTCATTAACGCGATCCCTGTTGTCCCTCGTGTTGGAATAACCATTATTTTCGAATCACCGACGCAGCCCTGTCATTTCGTTTCACCAGAAACTGACGGGACGTACCGTGACCGTAACAATCAAGAGAGTTAAACGCACATCGTTCGGCACACTATAATCAACATCGTTGGATTCGTTTTTAAATCCATTAGTTTGAAGCGCGAGCCGGTTATACTCGAATGGAACGTGGATTTTGAAATCATACTCAGCATTAATTGCCGTTGAATCTATCGAAAGGATTCGATTTCACATATTTCATTGGAAATTAATGTCTCTGCATCTCTGTATGATAATACGATAATTGATCGCATGCAAAAATGTTACAAGAACTTAATATCGGTGCACTGTGCGCGCGTTGTACAGAGGACGGGCTGAAGCGAAGCAATTTTCTGCTTTCCAAGAATATAATTTTCGCAGGGGGATGTGCCCGCTATATTTCCGAGATAAGACTATAGCTCCGCGGGATCTTCTCTCACCCAGCGAGACCCCACTCTCTCGTGTGAAATTACTTCGCTCCGCGGCTTACTCTTATCCCCCGGCGCCACCCTTTCTTACCGTGTATCCTCATTCAGCCGGGATCTCCCTGGAAATAAAGTAGATACCTTTCCTATTTTCGCATCTGGAAAATTGCAATACTGCAGCCGCGAGTGGTGCTCTGCGCTTGATAAATCAGTTGGCAGCTAGAATCTCTGAATTTGTGCGTTGCTACACAAAGAAATAAATAAGAAATTATTGTCTTGTTTTTTTAGGCGAACTGTGTTTTATAAGTAAAATACGCTTTACCTTTCGATCGCGAGATTCACGTGACGAAATCGATTAATATTACGCTTGAATAATGTAATCGTCGAACGAACGCCGCGTACTTTAACACAAGTGTGGCTTCCTGTGCACTTTTAACTAATTACTATGATCAACATAATTGTAGGATTATTCATGGCGTAGCAAATCGCATAGGGTTAACGTCGCATGTTACCCGGTGAAAAAAAAAATGTAAGCGCTGTAATAGCATACATATATAGAGCAGAGTACGCGATAGAATCGGTTTAGTCGAAGTCGTGACGCCGACCATCACGAATCTTTTGCTTTCTCCATATCGACCCCTTCTGCATACTTTTTCTCCACGGCGTTCGCATAATAATGTTTTCGTGCGGGGATCGATACGAGAACATCTATTTTTACACGAGAACAGGCTATTTCGCGTTATCGGCACGATTTTCCTACAGCATTTCGAATGTGGCGTTGTAACCACCGACTTTCTATCTCGAAACAAATCCATTGAGGAATTTTTTCCATAACTCAAAACTGCTGACTCGGCAATATCTTCTTTTATTTTAATGCATTTAAAGCGTGTCAACGGCGTTGGCTGATTTGAGAGTGGAGATTTATAGATTTACTGTTTTTCCCTAATATTAAGTTGTTTTTTTTTTTGCTGAAGATGCAAAATGCACGATATCCGTTTGTAACGCAACTGTGCGTTTTACGAATATGTTTATTAACGTTGTGAAGAACGGATGGCAAATGGAATGACTGAGAAATTAAATTTATCATAATTATGTTGCAATAATTTTTATTTTAATGAAGAAAAAAATATGTTTCAGGTAAATGGTGTCCTCGTAGAGAATGGAGTTCGCCGCCTGACGCGCAACGTGCGGCGAGCGACGCGCGTCGTGGTGTCCTTTATTCCTCCGTCTTCCTCGGCAGTCCCGGTAAGTCGAGTTCAACGCATAAATCTGAAATTTTTGCGCTTCTATCGCTTGCATATATGTATAAGTGCATCGCTCTTAGTCAAAAGCTGCCATTTGGCAATCTCGAAGTAATGAAAGTTCGTCGTATCAACTTCAATTATACTTTGTCTTGCACGTAACGCGCCCACATGTGGCGGCGACTTCTATAAAAGATTTTTTAGACGCAATACCTTTTTAAGCTTAAGGATGATATCACGTCAATCGTTTGTAATGCTTACATCACCAGATGCCATAAAATTTAAGATTAATTTGTATCAACTTTTATTAGAACATACTGACATTATTCAATAATTCTCTAGCAAAAAAATGGTTACTCTATTATTATTTTTTCTCGTTGATATTATTTTTCCTCTGCTCTCATATACATTTACTTGTAAAGTTTTTAAAAGTCTGCTCTCTGAATTTTTTTTTTATCTGTAATTCTCTATTTCAATTGCAAATATTATTCCGATATTCTGTCTGCAAAATTTGTCTATATACTTTTGTATTTTGCTCTCTTTGTCATTTTTATTTTTTTATTTTTATTACAATTGTTACCTATTATTTTTTGTTAAAGCTTTTTTCTTATTATTTTTTGTTAAAGCTTTGCGCTTGAGGGAATTTCAGAGCGTTGAAAAATAACTCTGAGCTAAATAAGCAAATAAATAACACGAATAATAATTGCAAAAATAAGTACTTTTTAAAGATCGCACGACTCCGCAATTTTTTTTCGAAAGCAATTAATTTTTTCATCTACCAATATATTTAATTATAATACTTTTCAAGTGTGTAATACACAGTGTAAAGCTGCGCGTAATGACATTCACGATGCGTGAATTTATTTTGACTCTCGCCCGAATTAATCTTCAATCATTTTTAATCGTGCGTGCCGTGCGTAAGGTAAAGAGAAAAGGCGCGATCGTTTTATGTGTGCACTTCGTGTGTGTTCAGTGGGAGGAGCGAATCGTTGGCCGCATAAACAAGTTTTAATCGGCCTCGGGCATTCGCCGCGTTGAATAAATATTGATATCGGATGACGCGACGGCCAATCAGGATCGCGGTTTATGAAACGGAACGCTTACATCTCGTTCGTTTCGCGCGCGAATAATTTTGCTTGGCGATGGTTAACGAGCATAACGCAGTGTATCGCACAAAATTGTAGAAAATTCGGCAGAAACTCGTTTATTATTCTCAAATTAAACCTGACTCATCGATATCGGCGAATACAATCCAAAATATTTCACGTGTTTATACATCGTCAGTATCAAATATATTTATAAGCTAAATTGAACGATATCGCAGTAGTTTTTAAAAAGATAATGAGTGAAACAAAAAATTACAAAAAAAGTTTTTCGACATTATACTTCCGTTCCTTCGTTCTATTATCACGCTTGCGCGATCTTGTGCGCTTCTCGTTTTAGCAAGGGACGACATCGTGTCGATCCTCTTCGAAAGACATCAAGATCCTCTCGAATGCCACAGATAGGTATCGTGCAAGAGTGCATTACGAGGTTGCGTTAGTGACTTGCTTTTGATAAGTGATCAAACTGTTCCGAAAAGGCATTGAGCCCTGATATCGCGAAGGACCAAGTATCGCGCATGCGTACATGTCCGCGGGCTGTCTCCTTCGTCCGTTTCTCTCGTTTTCGACCTCCCTCTCTCTGGTATCCTCCGCGAAGGAAGGACGGAGCGAGGGCGAGAGAGCGAGCCGCCCGTCGTCGTCGGAGAGAAGATTGGCGCCTCGAGAGCGAGGAAGACGGAATTTCGCGAGTGCGAGCGAGCCGGCTTGTCGTGCGAGCAGAGCAGAGAAAGCGAGAGAGCGGAAAGAGCGGTGAGAGGAGAACGAGATGGACCAGGGGATGCCGTCGTCTCCATGGCAACGAGGCGAGGCGGGAATGCGACGGTAACCATGGCAGCCGCGGGTTCCTCTCTCGGGCCGACCTGTCTGTCCCTCTTTCTGGCCTCTCGTCCTCCTCGTTCTCCTCATCTGGACCTCTTCCTTCCGCCCACGGAGCGAGCAAACGGCCGCGCGGACGCCGCTCCTCTCGAGCCGATCTGTAAAGGAAAGGTGGGGCGGACTTGGGCTCGCGCACCGCTCCAGAGAGAAAGGGTTTTACTTTTTCTTCTCGTTTCCATCCCCCTCTTCCCCTTCGTTTCGCGCGGCCTCATGTGAATCCTTTTTTCCGTATTCAGGAGCATCTAGTCGATCTCGATGTAGCGCGCGAATAACGAGAGGTATTCAATGGCGACGCGCGATTGCAAAATTTCATTCGATTTGGCGCGTTGACGTTCCAAATGAAAATGCGAATCACATTTCTAAGATCGATGTAAAATATCAAATTTACAATGAATGTATACATTTATTCTCGCCTATATATGTAGAATCATCCTTCGTTATTTTATTCTAGAGAGATAAACATCGTACAATCTTGAAGGAACGATCCAACTTTTTCATCCTTCTTCTCATCACGCGCTTTTTTTTTCTTTATATCCCTAACTATAAATTACTTTTCAATATTCTTTTGGCAAGCAGCACATCAAACTTGCATGCATACTCGATAGCTATCGACATTCTTCGACGCTGAAACGCGGTTCGCCACTCAGCTTGGGCGCGGAATATCGTAGACGCGCCTGATTATGTGCGACTGTCGAGGAATCCCGGGATTCCAGGCGCCGTTTAACTCTCGATACGTCGCGCGACGAGAGTCAAGTTTCTGCGTCGACGACGACATTAGCGTGCCTCCGCGTTTTCCCTGACTGCATATTTCCGTCTCGCCGTCTATTACGAAGAGCGCGGCGACGGAGATATCTGCCGACGTCTCTCGTGTTATTTCGAGTTTCGTAAGAACGCGTTCGAAATGGCACGTCCTAACTGACATCGCGATTTTTCTCCGATCGTTGTAGACACACATCGCGATCGTTTCGAAAGTTAGTCCAATCTTCCTCGCAGTTTCGTTCTCGCGTTTTACTAGCCTGTATTTTTGCCATTTGATTGGATGAAAATCAAATAAAAAATATTTTTATATGTATTTCAATCATTCCATGGTGCGATTTATAATAATTATTCAAAGTCTCCGAGCTGACAATGAGTAACTTCCATCGCAATTTTAAAGCGCGCGTTCTTTTCCGCGAGATCTGACATATACAACGAGTGTTCAGCTTTCATTGACGAAAAAATGATTGAATTTACGATGTATCACCTGTCGTATATTTATACGCCCAGCTATTCTCTAATTCATATAAAGTGACATTGCCAATCTCGATATAAGAAACGAAATATAAAAGAGATGTAAGATAAGCGCAATTAAGGAAGATATGATTTCCTCGATTAAATCATTATATAAGCTGAGAGAACAGGGTAATGAAAGAAAGTTTGCGCGATTATATACTAATATCTCGTTTGATTATCTCGTTACGCCATTGCGGGTATCCTTTCGTGGCGTTCCGCGTGCAAACATTCGTCGACGAAGCTCCTCCGCAACGCGGATCCTCGCCGGTATTGTACGCGGTAGTTTGAGCGATGTTCAACCTCGCGGCTCGCGACCCTTGGACTCTCAACCCCTTCGACCGCAGTTCCGTTTGTCTCGGTACACCGCGATTCCTCCAGGAGCAAGCGAGCATAGCCTTACGTAATCGATACAATTCGGATAAATGCAACCCGGTTTTGTACAAAATTGTCTGTGTGTGTGTCGCGCGCTTGCTTTATTATATTGATTTATATCAACAATGAAATTGTTTGATTATAATTATGTCATATATAAATATTCAGTCATGTTGACAATATCAAAAAATATATTGACAATATAAACATACAATTTAGTTTTTCTCCTAAGTTGTTTAAGAAAAGAAGAGTACGAGCTATTAAAATTTTATCATTATTTTTTTTTTATTGGGGAGAAATTAATGAAAAAATATATCAGTCAATATAATGTAAGATAGTAATTGCAACGAAATAGATAAAATTTAAAGATGTAAAGAAGCGGAGGAGAGGGTATCGCAGAAAGGTACGAATATCGGAGATTCGTAAACGATTCCAAAATACGAATTAATTGGAATTTTATCGAACAATATCAGGGAAACTCGAGATAACAACTATTGGTCTCGCGGAAGAGAATTCGTTGCTTCGTCGAGAGCAAGTTACACAATAGCCGATCCGGCGATAGGTGATGGCAGAGGAGAATAGCCGAGGTAGAGTTTCTCTCGCGCGGAACCGCCACAGGGCCACCTCGTGTTCTTCGATTAGCAGGAGACCGACCCGACCATGACCTCTCCCTCTCTCTTTCTCTCTCTGTCGCTCTTCCTCTCTCTCTCTCTCTCTCTCTTTTTTCATCGTCCACCGCGTACCATGCCATAGGTGGAGAAGATTCTCTCCTGGTCTCGCTTCCTCACTCGCTCCGTTTCTCTCGTGCTCCATCTCGTGGCACTGATTGGACGATCCATCACCGTTGCTTCTCTCTCGTTCTTTCCTGCCTGTCTCCTCTTTCTCCGTCTCTCCTTTCTGTCCTCTCCAGTCTCTATTGCCAAGGAGTCGGACGCACACGTACGCGTCTGTGTGCACATATATATTATATATATATATACATATATATGTAGAGGTACATCTGTGTGAAAATACGGACGTGACTTCATACTCACGCTCATGTTCCATATGTATACATATATATCTGTATATTATGTGCACGCGTTACGTTGTCACGCGGGTGTTCACGCGATTTTCGAACATATGCACACGCGCACACTGGACTCTTGCATACCATCGCTCAAAGAGGCGGCCATTCTTGTAAGAGAGGGTGGGAGGGTAATTGGTTCCCATGAAGGTAGAAAATGCCTCGTTCGAAAACCTCTCGCCGAAACTGCACAACGCAGCTGGAACGTATCGGTGAAGATAGTTGGCAGAGAAACAGTTTCGAGAGGATACCTTTGATTAAAATTGTTTGTAATTGACGATCGCAAACGCGGAAATTATCAATGATAGCGATAAC